CTGTACATAGAAGCCTGTTTAAACATACGAGTCTGTTTTCTTGACAACTAAATAGTTGAACACATTCAATCCAGAACAGAAACCACATCGGTTCCACATTATTGCATCTTTATTAACCCATTCTTAGTCAGTTTCCTTGAAGAGTGGCAGTTAGCATGAACATGCCTCCCCCTCCTTCAATACTCATATGTCCTATGACCTCATGAAGAGGCTAGCTCTGCATGAATAACATTTAAACAGCTACTCAACCCTTTCTATGGTTCCCCCATCATCCCGTCTCCGTGTTCTTGAACTCAAGAGGACTACAAATGAAAAAATGCCATCTGGGCACCAGCAAGCAGACCCATCCCTAGTCCCCAAAACTTTGTTAGTACAACTGAGAGAACTGTAATAGGTGACAGAAGAGCAAGTACCTGGCTTTAATTTAGAAATCATGTTAGGGGTGGCGGGGAGGAAAGAGAGGAGCACTGATAGGTAGTCGAGTTCCTGGGCCACACTGCAGTGACTGCTGCAGGGACTAAACATGTGGCAAGAGGCAGTGAATGGACTGTGTGATGTGTCCCCTTCAAAAAACTCCCAATACTTCCCCAACAGCACTGTTTTCCCTGATGACAACACCCCTCCCCCTTTTTTCATAGATTTCACAGACATTAGGGGCTGGAAGGGACCTCATGAGATCATTGAATTCAGTCCCCACACCATAGGCAGGAAGTCAACTGGGATCAAGCGACTCCAGCAAGAAACATATCCACCTGTCTGTTTGAAAGAGTCCAGAGTAGGTGCTTGCACCACCTCTGGGGGGAGTTTGTTCCAGACCCTGGACACTTGCACCATAAAGAACTTTTTTCTTATGCCCTTCTTATCCCTTGGGGAGCTCTGGTGATCCCAGGTCCTGGTGCACCCCTCTTATGTAATTGTAGGGTGCCACCAAGTCCCCCCTGAGCCTTCTCTTCTCCAGACTGAACTGTCCCAAGTCCCTCAGCCTTTCCTTGTACAGCCCTCCCTCTAAGCCTTGGATCATATGAGTGGCTCTCCTCTGGGCTCTCTCAAGCTTCTCCACATCCTTCCTGAAGTGGGGGCCCAATACTGGACGCAGTACACCAGCTGCGGTCTCACCAGGGCCAAGTAAAGTGGGAGGACCAGTGTAAACAATCCCTAAAACTTCCTCAGGAAACAAATTTGTGCAAATGGCCTTTTTGTACTTCTTCATGCACTACAGTATATCCATGCCATGACCTTTCCACAGTTCCCCCTTGGATATCTACCTATATACCACTGAGGTATGCCTAATGGGCCTGCAGTTGCTCAGATCAGTTCCTTAAATAAAATACCTATCTTTGCTCTGCTCCAATTATAAAGTACCATCTTAATTTGATAAAATATATTTGCTACCAAACCTGTGATTGTGCACACCAGTTCTTGCAGGAGTCTGAAATGGAGATTATCTGGTTCTTCTAGTGCCACTGGTGTAAAAGGTTTTTGTGGGATTTTTGCTATTACGTTGTTTATGCTACAAAACGTCTAAATTTTTCACTTTTGCTACCACTGATCAATCCTATGCCTGACAAGAATGATAGGAGTACTAGAAGAACAACAGTGGGAGACTTTCCCAAATTATTTTTTCATTAAAATGAGCTTTGCAAAACAACTATGAGTTAAGACAGAGAGGAATAATTTAAGAAAGAGAAGGATTTTTAGTCAGGCTGTTTAAGGCATTGGCTTTTTTATGCTAGTATATTATTGCCAGGCGAAGTCTATCTGAATTATTCCCTATATGCAGGGGCTTCAGACTCAACTGGGGGACCTCAAACTGAATCCAGACTGCAGGGCTCCTTGCTAGCGGAATTTAGCCTAGGGTAGGAGGCAGCTGCTACCACTGTGGCAGGTCCAGCAGGAGTGAAGGGTCTGACTGTAGTGACAGGTCTGGAGGCAGTGACTCTGGTGGAGGGGCCTGGGACAAAGATGGCAAGCCAAGCTCACTGCCAATGGCCATGGCCAGTGGGGCCAAGAGGGCCTGAATTCTGTGGCAGGCCACACCCCTAACTTCCAGTAGCCTCCCAACAGACTAACTGGCCAGGGAGAACATCTCTGTAACCCATATCTAGCCGAAGGGTCGCATTTCACATCCCTAACTCTATATCACTGAAAGACTGTCATAGACAAAGAGCTAGGGCAGAAATTAGTATTTACAACAGATACTAAATTTTTCCTGAAATAACTTCAGTGTCAAAAGAGAATATTTAAAAATAGATTACTTTAAAATGCAAGCCACTTACTTCTTTACCCATCCTATTCTAGGTTTCAGGTTTTTTTAACTACTGACAACATTAACATGGCAAAGAAGTACAAGAAATGCAGCTCTCCATGTTAATGCCATCACTACCTCCTGCTAAGAAAGCCTAAACCCTTAAATTCGGATGTTGTTAAGATGAGAGAGAGAGAGAGAGAGAGAGAGAGAGAGAGAAATACTGTTCCAGAGAGTCAAGGTGTCATAACAATATCCAATCAATAGTGTTTCAAGTACATTAGAAGCATTTTAACAAACAAACAGTCTCAAATTATTGATCTCTCCATTCCAAAATAAACTGCTCTTGTATATCTATGGCAGGTCAAGTTTCCATTTGAAGGAATTTTCTATCTTTAATTACTCTTCTTTCCCTGTCTCTCTACAAAGACTCAATATTGAAGGGCACCATCCTCCTCTTGTGGTCATTTCCTGGTACAAGTAATATTTGTCAAACACTTTTTCTTGTCTTTTATTTGTTTATTTATTTTAAAGGCTTTCAGTTAGCCCTACTTTCCTTTAATCAGCTGACATTCTATTCCTTCATGTACCAGAATAGGTTTCCTGATTGTCTCTGGACTGCAACTCTACAGGGTCCAACTTCCACACCAGTCTGTTAAGTCTGGTAGCCTTGTAAGTACTCTTGGTGAGGAAATCAGCAGCTAGCAACAGCACTGCCACAGTATGTTAACAAAAAAGCCTTGATAATCAGGACTAATTCTGTGTAGTTTGAACTGAACTGCCTTGTTATCAAGTTAACCCAGTACATTGTAAAATATCAAAGTATTAATTCAGAGACGACAAAAAAACTGCAAAAACACTCCACACCTCCCCCTAACATGCGCACATGCATTAACTCCACAAAAAACCAAGACAAGAAAATGAGGTTTACAGATTCTGGCTTATGCACTTGCAGTTACTGATTCAAACAGAAACCCTAAAAGCTAATTCAGTCCTCTTTTTCCCTTAGCCCTCCCATTCTCCCTAGCACTGGATATTTAACCCAGAGAGACCTCAAAGCAAGAGACAGTAGTTCAGTGAACTCTCTTTTGGGTCCAAAAGGTTATTAATCATTTATGCCAATTATAATGGTGTCCTGGGAGACAAGTATATGCTTGCTGAGTTGGAAGAGGAATGAGACCAAAGATTCCAGAAAGGCCAAAGACAGACTGTGTAATAATCAATTTTGGCTGGATTCAGATATGTAATCTATAATACAAGTAATCTATTTCAATCTACTGATTCCCCAAATCCTCTAATCCTCTCCCAATGAAGGTTTATTTTTGTGTGGGAGGGGGAGCATGTGATTTCAGATGATTACGAAAATTCTTCTGCAGGGTAAGCAACTGAACATTCAAAACAATTTTTCTCCCCATCTCCTGCAACAAAAACTACCTACAGAAGCACTCTAAATGAAAACTGCTAGCATTCTGAACAAGTAGGCAGAATGAATGCCTGTATACCAATGCTCGGAGTATGGGGAACAAACAGGAGGAACTTGCCCTCAGAATAGCCAGTTCAAACCCAGACGTAGTGGGGCTTACAGAAACATGGTGGGATTCATCCCAGGACTAGGCAGTTAGCATTAGGGGCTATAGGCTCTACAGGCGGGATAGAGAAGGTAGGAAGGGAGGGGGTGTGGCGCTCTATGTCAAAGAGCAATACACATCCTCTACCAGCAACATGGGGTCAGAGGAAGGGCAAGCTGAAGTGCTCTGGGTCAAGATACAATGGGGTCGTGGGGAGAGGGATTTAATGGTGGGGGTCTACTACAGACCCCCCAACCAAGGGGAGGAGCTGGACCAGGAATTTTCGGGCCAGCTTGAAGAGACACTTGAGGCAAGGGATGTAGTTGTCATGGGTAATCTAAATTACCCGGACATCTGCTGGGAGGAGCAGTCAGCCAGGTCGGACCATTCCAGGAGGTTCCTGGCCGAGATAGAGAACCTCCACTTAACCCAGGAGGTACACAGTCCCACCAGAGGAAATGCCCTGTTGGACCTGGTCCTGGCCACAGGCGATGATCTGGTAAGGGGGCTCCAGGTCCTTGACCACCTGGGTGACAGCAATCATCGCTTGCTGGAATTCATCATCCAGCGCAGGGTGTCAAGGGCCTGCAGCAAGGCAGTAGCCCTAGACTTCAAGACCCTACAATGAGAGGCTACGGGACCTGAACCTGTTCAGCCTTCACAAGAGAAGGCTGAGGGGGGACCTTGTGACCATCTATAAACTCACTAGGGGGGACCAGAAGGGTTTACAGGAGACCTTGTGTCCCCTAGCGCCCCCCGGGATAACAAGGAATAATGGCCACAAGTTGTTGGAGAGTAGGTTTAGATTAGACATCCGTAGGAACTACTTCACAGTTAGGGTGGCTAGGATCTGGAACCAACTTCCAAGGGAAGTGGTGCTGGCTCCTACCCTGGGGGTCTTTAAGAAGTAGCTTGATGACTACCTGGCTGGGGTCACTTGAGCCCAGTTTCCCTCCTGCCCAGGAAGGGGGTCGGACTTGAAGATCTACAAGGTCCCTTCCGACCCTATTTCTATGATTCTATGAAATCTCTGTAAGAACTAACTGCAACCCTGGACATGTCTCACGTGCAATTACCAGTCTTGACTCAAGATCTACTCGCCAGGTCTTGTATTAATGCATCTGTCATTTGATTAAATGAATGCAATATCCATCTCATTTGCTACTATTCAGAATATTTTGGTTTACCTTGACTGCTTTCACTCTGATTCTCTGCCTTTCTCTTTCTTCCTCTGGAAGGTTCTGACTGTTTCTTCTCCGGAGTCTACAAAAAACAAAAGTCTTTAAAGGCAAAAAAATTACATACAGCAGTAGTTATTTATATGTACAGTAAATAGAAATCCTTGTTCATAAATTAACTTCACAATTCAGTAGGAATGTCATTTTAGATTTTAACTGAAAAAAGCAACAATATGATCCTTAGTAAATCAGATATTGATGATCTGAAAGAAGAGTTTTATTTTACTTCCTTAAAACTGCCTGTAAAATACTCCCAAAATAACTTTATATACCAACAGAAATGTATTCTTTTCATCTAATCAGTATCCACCTTGTCCATTTGAATGAGTAATATAAATACTAACCACAGTCACAGGGTAACTGGCATGTGTCAAGGCCTTTACAGATTGCCTATCATAATAAAACACTAATCCCTGACTAAAGATTCTAGGCATTACTGTAATACAAATACTGAACAATTCAGTACAAGTTAGAATATCAGCATCAGTGAGGAGAAAGAAACACTGTTTATTTTCATTTCTACACCAGCAGTCCAAGAATTTAGATGTTACACAGTTTATACCTTGACTATAGCTCAAAAAGTTAACTACTCCAATTTTGTCTACCTACAACTTGCAATGGATTTCCTTGTCATGAATCTCCCGTTAAGAATAAAATAAAACAAATTATAAACAGGTTAGAAGTAAACACCATAGGATAGACTAGGTAAAGCATTTAAGTGTTAAATGTGAGTCATGAACCCAAAAGTTAGAGTGCATATAGCATAATTAAGAAAGGGGGACTAAGGACAAAAACATCTTCAAATGTGGGAATGACATAGCTGTGATGGTCCAGGAATTGTGAGAGCAGGGAGCAAGGATTTTTGTTGGTGCTATCTTTTATTGGACCAACTGTGTAGTTAGTATAAAGTTACACAAGCTTCTGAAATGCAAGGCAGATCCTGATGAAGGTACCTGATGAAGAATGCCTTGCTTTTAAACCCTTACCTAACTTTACCCAACTATACAGTTGGTCCATTAAAAGATACAGCCCACAAAAATCCTTGCCTTTAAGTCACATTTGCTTTCCCTCAGTCCCAGGATTTGCACCATGCTAATCCCACAACACAAAATTGCATCAGCTGTCTGACTCCAAGAAATAGATACAACAGCTAAGACAGTGATACCTTGAGATCTTTTCAAGTGTGTCACGGGGTGCTACACAACATTAGCACTGTTAGGTGTGCAAACCTGATTCAAAAGAAACTCAGATATCACACACAAATACATAGTGTTAAAAACATGCTGATCTCCTGTGGTCTCAGTTCTTTGCAACTGAAAAATTGCTCTATTATTTTTCTATAGCAAGAAAAAGAAAAAGAAAACTAAAAGCTGGCATTTTCTGGGGGGGTACCTTGAGTCTAAAGGAGTTGGGAACCTCTGAGCTAAGAAGTGCAAGAGTACAGGTATGTCCTGACCACTTCCTGTATGCTGATAGCTGAAGCGTGTCACAGGCTAGGGACAGAAGTTACACATAAACCAGTATAAGTGATCAGAAACTGGTTTAAAACTGCAACATAACGTAAGTTCAGTGCACATAAACCAGTTTCAAAATGGCTGAAACTGGCTTAAGATAAACCTGGCTGAATGCAATATCAGACTTAACAGATCTGGGTCAAACTGGTTTATGGAACTTACCCCTTCCTGGTTTAAGTTAAATCAGCATCCCCCAGTAATCCCAGCATGCTTTTCAGACCTGGGCTGGCTGTGCTCTCTGCTCCAGAGAGCAGGACTGACCCTGACCCTGCCCCTCTGCTCTGTAGCCAAACCGGGGTGGGGGCAAACTTATTCCCCCTCCCTTCCCAGGACCCCAGCTGGGGTCTGCTTAAGTGGCAGGGGGTGTGGCCAGCCCCAGTGGCATCCTGAAGCAAATGGTGGGGGAGGGAAAGGGATTTAATTCCCCCTCCCTCCCCTTTCAAGGCCACCCCTACCCTTGCTGCTCCAGCAGCAGGGTCAGGGGCATGGCCAGATGCCAGCCAGCATGGCAAAGGGGGCAGGGAGGAGGTTTATTCCCCACTCTGAACCTTCTCCCACTGGGGGACTGTAGCTGGGGTCTGCCAACCCCAGCCGCTGCATCTGCTGCACTCCCCAGGACACCATGACAGGGGCTGCTGCCCTCAGGGTCAGGGTCTCTCCCCCATCTCTGCTCCAGTGGCAGGGGTGGGGGTATGACCAGACACCAGCCAGTATGGCTGCCTGAGGCGAAGGGGGCAGGGGGGGGGCTTATTCCTCCCTCCCTCTCCTCTCCCCCCAGGGAACCCCAGCCATAGTTTGCCTGGCTGGGTGCAAGTGGCAGGGGCTAGGGCTGGCAGACCCTGGCTGCAGTTCCCAAGTAGGACCAGATGGAGGGGGCAATAAACACCTTTCCTGTCCCCTTTGCCATGCGGGCTGGCATCTGGCCATCCCCCAAACCGTGCCACTAGAGGGGCACTACCAACTTCGTCACCCAGTGCTTGTTTGAAAGATTTTTTTTTTAAATACAATACATTCCACTAAAATTCAAATTCAAATCCATGATCTAAAGAATTCTAAATATATTCCAATTCTATACATACTTTGTACATTTTTTAAACTAAATTGAATTTCTGAGAAAAACCCCAGGTGCAAATACTAAAATCATGAATCTTTTTCAAAATGGACCACTTAAAGCTACAAAACTATTGGAAACTGCCATTTCTTAAAGGCTACAAAGAGGACATATAAAGACTCAATACCCATTTAATTTCCTTATTTATTGCATTTTTTTTAAATCTTGAATCTATGCAGATATAGACAGAAATAACCTCTTAGCACTCTTGCCTTCAGACAGTTTATTATTACACTTTGGTTTTAAATGTCTTATGACTGGGACAAAATTTACCTTTTACAATGTTTGGATACCACAGACAGCTGAGGGACAACTCAGCACTCCTGCAATAGTAAGGTATATTGGCTACGATTCCACAATTTTGATATAAAAAGTTTGTTTGCAAGCATAGCACCATGCTTACAAATGCCGCTTTTAATCATGCTTGTTGACTAATGGAATGTGCAATTTTATTCAGTATAAACAGTTAACTTTGTGTTAACAGAGCAGGTAAACTAAGTTACAGATTGCCAAGGTTTAGCCAAGCATTGATGAGATCGTGATTTTTCTTCAGTCTTCATTATTTTTCAATTTGCGAACTTCAGTCTCTTGACTAATCTCAAATTCTGCCTAAATCTATACATTTTTAAAGTTGCATCTGCAGCTGTTGTAAGAACCTACACAATAATTTAAAATGCGTCAAAAAAGTAGCGTTGCCATTTGCAGAATGACTGTCAATTGTCTTCTCATTTGCAAGCCTTTGTAGAAGTAACTTTTCCATTTAAAAAATAAAGACACCAAAAATTTCTAGTTAAATATTCCATTTTATTTAAACCAGTTTCATTCCTTTTGTTGTTTAGTTTGACCTTGTGTACAGTACTAGGACTTTAGCGAGATTCCTGAGATTGCGAGAGATCATTTTCACTGTTGATAGATACAGTTTCATATGATAATGCAGAGTGTATATTTAATTCAAATAATTACAAATATAGTATTTTTTTTCAGAATTCAGTCAGCAATTGTCCCTTTCTAATAGAACTGTAAGAATAATAAAAAAAAAGTTTGAAAGCCTCTGGACTCATTGAATGTTTTCCTGGTGGCCCTAACTATATATAAAAAAGATGAGTTTTCTTCAGATATATACTTCAGCAAGATTTATAAAAATACTGGCATATTAAAATCCCTTAAATTTATGGGCAAAACAAGGATTTTTAAAAAGGTCTTTCAAAGTCAGATTCTAAAAGTATTAACATATAGTATGGTGGATGGAAAAAACAAAACAAAAAAAAACACACTCATTTGTATATTTTATACCAGGGGGCACTACTTCACTGTCAGGGTGGCTAGGAGCTGGAACCAACTTCCAAGGGAAGTAGTCCTTGCCCCTACCCCGAGGGTCTTCAAAAGGAGGCTAGACAGCCACCTAGCTGGGGTCATTTGACCCCAGCATCCTTTCCTGCCCATGGCAGGGGGTCAGACTAGATGATCTGCTTAGGTCCCTTCCGACCCTACCAACTATGAAACTACCCTGCTTTACCACTACTATTCTGTGTGGTCTCCCCTTGCTTCTATTTTAATTTTATAGTTTATAACTTTGGTTTCAATATTATCCTTAATAAACTTGTATATTTATAACATCATCTTTCTGAAAGGACTCAATTTCCTTTAAAAAAAATTGGGTAAAGACAGAAAGACAAATCCAATTTAAGTATTTACTTGCAGAATGAGTCATAACTGTACATAGAAAAAAATTAAGGAATAAAGAAGGTAAAAATGAAACTCTTGGTTAAAATGCCATACTAAAATGAATATGTAGCAAATATATCAGGTTCTTATCACATTTCAATAAAATATTTAGGCAGGCAATTTGTGTCTTGTGTTTTTATGATAGTGGTAGATTAAAAAAACATTTGGCATATGTGCATGTTGGACAGGGAGGAGAAATCAACATTTTTTCATTTGTGGCTTAATCATTCTTTCCCTTTGATAAACTTAATATCTATGAGATGTTTAATTATTATTTTTTGTCACATATATAATGAATGAGTTTATATTTTTCCCATTACTTTTCTTCTAAATCTTGCTCTCTCTACAACTCAGGTTTACAACCACAGCCTACTATAATATAAAGCAATAGTACCTTCCTCAGAATACATTACACATTCCAATTCGATTAAACCTTCATTTACCTTTGAAATAACGTTTATAATGAAGGTTCTACATTATTAGGAACTCCTGCAACTACAGAACTACAAGTAAAGAGAGCCGAACATTTACACAACTAGTCAAACTGGACCAATCGAGATATATATTAAGCCTTCTTTCTTTAAATAATTCTCTATCTACAGAGAATGGGAAATACAAACTATAATTAAAGGATACACTTGTAATTAAAACATGGTGTAGAAATAAATCCACACT